TCATAGTTAATTGAGTGGAATGGTTATGAAACCCGTCAGACTCCTTTGTTATATGTTTTTGTGGACCTGAAAGTGCACAACGTTCAAAAGAATTCCTATCATTTTGATTGTATTGACCAATAAAAACGTTGCATTAATTTATTCCGTAACAATTTGCCAACAGAAAACAAAGGATTGTGCACTTTCAGGGTGCTTCCAACATAAACTGCAGCACTGTTGTTTTTATCATTGATGTTTGCCGCTTTTCATAACCAGTCTCCTCTAATAACTATGTTCTAATCTACCACTTGAAGGATGAAGCTGGGTTTTCAGTATCTTAACGAAATATATTTGCTTATTTTGGTGAACTAATGAGGTTAAATTAGGGTATAGCCATCAAAAGTTACAGTTCAATTGACCCGAATACCTTGCTTGAAAATAGAACACGAGTCGGTAATATTTTTGATAATCTTGGTTTTTTTTTGTAGTTTCAAAGTCAAGTATTATCTACCAAGCAGAGCGATACTATCCAAAGCTTAAGAGACAGCAAATAGAACCCATCTTGCATGCTCTCAAAACTAAAAGACCTGGGTAGTTCTTTACTTAGATGCAAAGAGTCGATTTACATTGTCAGTGTATTAACATTTAGGGCACCTTTAAAATATTCCTTTAATTGCAGTAATCAGTCATTCACGAATTCTTTTCCTATTTTAAAACAAATTACGAAGAACCAGTTAGCGAAAATTCCTTCACAAAAGAGCGTCTTGAAACCATTTAACTTAAAGCTGCAAAGTTTGGGGTTGTTCGAGAAGTAAAAAGTTAGGTGTTTGTAATGGCGCATTTAAAGAAAACTGCTTTTCCTGCATGCGTCTGTACTCCAAACACAAGCAATGCCTGTCCAAAGGTATTAACCATAATAAGTTTAATTTGGGTTGAGCCAAAGAATTTTAATCCCTAGATTAGCTTTATCCTGGCCTGTTGCTAATAACAAACACACAACAAGTTGATGTTTTGAAACTATGCCATCAGGACTGTCGGCAGTAAGAATGTGTCGACCACGACTGCCTCTGATTTTGGTACGTTCAAGTGTGTAATTCTAAATAAATAGAATGTAAATTAAAACTGAATTAAATGTTGGATTCGGCTTTCTTATGATATGAAGAATCATGCAGATCGAGTAGGACCTGCACCCTCTGAGATAAGAGGATCTTTTTATTCATTTAATATACAGTAGAATCCCAGTAACTCGAATTCTGAAGGGAAACGAGAAAAAATAAAAATCTGTTCGAGTTAACGAGGTTTTTAGTTATCGGAGTCGATTTCAAAATTCAATTATAGCCATGTTAAAAATTTAAATTACTGATTTTTAATTCAGCACTTCAGTGCAAGGTGCAGTGCAAATAATAAAATTCACCTTACTTCATTTCAGGCTCACTTGTGTGAATTCGGGGAAAATTATTTTGGCGGCGGAATTCCCACAAGTGTGCCTCTTCGCAGGTTAATTTCATTATAAACGGTAGCATGATTAGGCATTTGTTTATGATGAAACGTGATTTGTTCGTTTCACAAATGAAAATTAAATTGCTTTAGTGTTGACCAGTGTTGGTTTTAGTGTTTTTACCCTTATACAACAAGAAGGACCAATGGGATGGCATCCGCGAGTAGAGATAAAAGAACCAGTATTCTAGTTATTGGGGGAAATTTCACTTCTCAAAGGGAAGGAAATTTAGTTCGAGTTATCGGGGAATTCGTGTTACCCGAGTTCGAGTTATCGGTGTTCTACTGTATTTCCAACTTCAAAATATGCTTATCTTGATCCATGTAAAGCTCCAGTCTTCATAACATTTGCTTGTTCCTCGACAATTTCAGGTTATGAAGGGATATTATTCTGAGTTGTAGTAGACATTCTTCAAATAGCTCAGTTGTCATCCTTTATGGCCACACCTCGCAAAAGTACTTTTGCAAGCTTTTCCATGCCTTTTTTCTTCTCCAGAAATGGCTCCTTTGACAAGATGTTGCAAAGTGGGTTGCTTTCCATTATGCCAAAATGTTCTGAAATTTCGGTCAATAAATAAATAGAACGCTTCGGCCCAAGTGGAAATTTTCCGGTCAAAGTTGTTCACCTCCAGAGGTGGTCCTCTTTGACCGGTAGGTCGGGTCCGACCGAAACTTGCATGCCGTTCCCTTTCAAAAAATTCTCGTTTCCTGTCCTACGTTGCTAAACAGTAATCAAAATTGCGGTCGAAACGAAACGATCGCTTCGATTCGATTGGAAACTTTGTTTTACTTGAGCAATGTCGTTCCATTTTCTCTTGATAATTCCACTGGTTTCTGAATGTTTGGTTTTGCAAAATGGAAAGCACCCCTTAAGACTGACCATCACCATGTAGATCTAGGCGGTATAACTTGCAAGCCAAAGTAGCGCTCTCATAATTTAACCAGGATGAGGATGTCATTGTATGTAATCATTGACTGTGACAAATTCTGTTTTATTTCTAACAGTTCATCGCCTGCAATTTTCCTCAATACATCCAACCTAGTAACTTGTTCCGGGTAAGGAGTTTGCTTCTCAAGAAAAGTAAGACTGAACTAAATCGTAGGCTCCGTCAACTACAGGGAGAATGGAAAAAAGTCTCTGGTGCAAGGATTTCTGGGATAGTTTGGGTGAATAATGAGAGCAGTGATTGGTCAATTTTCGTCTTTGGATACTATCGACCAATCATAGCTTCTATTAACCATCCAAACTTGTTGCACCAAAATTTACCACTTTGCTTACCTTTTGTTTAATTCTGCAGGCAGAAATAAGGCAGATAGAGGATTTTAAACCCTTATTTCCAGGGTAAGAAAACGATTTAGCTACTAATGGTGGATAAATTCTCCTTCAGCGTACTAGTGCACTCCTCTTACAATATTTAATGTCTTTGGCACCTGGGGGAGGTATGCAACAAATTATATATACTAGGAGGCTCCGACTCGGCGCGGTCCAACCTTCTATTGACAAATGGTACACCTCACCTTTCACATACCTAGATTAAAGCTTTGCATCTCTTTTAACTGCTGTATTTGAAGTGTCTTTTAAATATGAACACATATATCACGACTTTTTCACAGCCATGAAATGCATCTGTTAGTCCTTTTGGGTCTTTTTACAGACCTTGAAAACAGATTTCCCTACCCTTTCATATACTTCAACTAGTGATATCCCTGCCCTTTCATATACCTTACGCCTGGAAAAGGTACCCCTTTTGGGCGGAGCCTCCCCGTATGAGCGATTATAAGAAGTTCCCCCCCCCGGTTTTGGCAGCGATCAAATAGTTCAAATCAACCTGAGCCACTGGTGTATGTGTACTCCCCTTTTCTACCTTTCTTTCTTTTGTTCTAAATACTCCCTTTTTCAACATGAAAAATTCCAATCGATAATTGTGCACCTTTACCTTTTGGAATCCGGATTCCGGAATATAGAAAAATTTTGCTTCTTGAATCCGGAATCTTGGGCTTGGGAATCCGAAATATGGCTTAAGTAATCAGGAATCCTACTAACGATTGCAATCTAGAATCCAAAGACTGGAATCCATTGAATTCAATTCTTTGACAAAGACTGAAATCCTTGAATCCGGAATCCACGGTGTGGGCTCCAGAATCCAAGATTCGCTCACTGGGGATGACCGTATCATTATTTATCCTCTAGCCTGACATTTAACAGTGCAATGGCTTTTTACATCCAAGAAGATAATTACGCGGTGACGTCATTAACTGTCGAGTGGCAAGGACCTTCATTCCTGGAGTTGACATTATTTGAAAAACTTTCGGAGGCAAATGCCGCCGAACATATCGGAGCAAATTTATTGCACCGCAGAATTGAGGTTTGTTAATTGTGAATTATCAACTGAAAAAAAAAAAAGCGACAACAACAACAACTTAGCAACAGTGATCGGGTGATGACTTCTGTCAATAGTAGGAGAGTTTTCATTGGTATGCTGCACCTCTATGGCACACGCGGGGAATACTAAGATATGGGCGAAAATAATTTCCACGTATGCGAAGAAGTGCTGCATAACCGGGTTTTCGTCGCTGATGGGGAGGAGGGAGGGCAAAACACGCAAGTATATATACACTCTCGGGGCATGAACGCATAGAAAAGCGATCTGATCAGTGATCCTGATGTTGGCAAAGCATTTCAAAACCACGCTCAATACCCAGGGGTAATGCAAGGGTCCCAGGAGGGAAAACGTGCTAAATTATAGGGCCCGCGTGCCCATTTCGGAGCAAACATTTCAATGAAAATAGTAACCGTATTAAAGGAAGGGGGTGAACAAACTTGTCAAGTTTTAAGTTAAAGTAAACCGTTAGTGATATTTTGCAAAAGTCATTTACGACATTTTAGTCTGTTACCACGATTTTCCAGGATAAATGACGGGGACGTTTGTGTATCGTTGTTGTTGACCCAGAACAAGGATCCCCTCATTCTCAGAACACGTTTACTTTTGCCAATAAAGGTCAATTCTCCTACAATTTTTTCAGAGCCAGGGTCAGTCCTATTACTTTATACAAATGGGTAATTTGAGTCATTACCATAACAACAACATTAAACCATTTTTCCCTATAACGTTTTGTCAGTTTGGAAGTTTTAACGTAACGAAACACGCTCCTGTGAGGTTCACCTTGCTAATAGATCCGAAGAACGAAACAAGGAATGGACGATCATATAACGTAACAACGTGGTTTCGCTTGAATTACACTTTGGTTGGAAAAGAGTGTGCAGACCAAGAAGAACAGTATTTTCCATTTACTTTTACTTTTTACAGTCCAGGTAACGAATAAAGTAGTGCAATCTTTCAGAACTAAATTTTTTTACACAGCTCCGTTTTCAGCATTTTAAGTGCACAACCTCGTTCCCAGGGTTCTTTTTGACCTCTTGCTTCCAGAGAGAGAACTTTGGGAACGAGTTTGAATAGTGCTGTGTACTGGAGGTATGCGTCATCGCATGCGCTGTAAAAGGGTAGCAGTACTTCAATATGTTAGGTAATGCTTTAGTTGTTCGCATTTAGGACGTAACAGACTTGCACATCAGCGTATGTATTTGGGCTGAATACCACTAGCGACATAACCATAGTCATAAGGGGCATTCATGTCACATATTTTGCATTGGCAGCGCCTATAAAACCGACACTATCATAAAGACGCTTATCACTTTTTAAACAACAGAAAGTGGGGAGTGTGTTTAAAGGTTCAAACACAAATGTTTTGTTTTTAATGTTATGTTGTTACCATTTCAGCTTGCGACATGTTCGGTCCATTTCGTGCGAGCGTACTGAAAGAAAGTGATATTACATCCTCTTACGTGGCTCGACCAGAGCAAAATTTAGTTGGGACTTCTCCTTTCAATGCGAGGCTGGGAGAAGATGACACTTTCTGGAGATCGAATAGGAAAAGTCGAGATGAATTCATCTCCATGGAGTTTAATAAAAAAGTGCAATTTGAAATGGTGAGTAAGTTTCTCATCGACGTAGTTACTACCTTGTAGGATTTTTCGGAAAGAGTCTTGGAAAGGTGATTCCGCGGAGCAAGATTCTGCTTAAATAAATTAAATAGCACATGATCTCTTCGAAGCAGTCTAGCATGCAAGTTTTGATTTTAAGGTGGCAACCACCATTTCTTGCTCTGCTACAAATGGTGGAACAGACTTCCTTATATTAAATTATTTACAATAAATAAAAACTTTCTCCCGGAAGAAGTAGGTCATGATGTTAACTTAGTCTAAAAAATCTTACGGTGGTTACAAATAATTCTTTTTATTTTTCTTACTTTTGCCAACATGGTAGCTGGCTGTCAAAGGATCGGAGCAGAGAAGAGTCGCATCGCTATACGTCTATACAAGCGATGACGAAATACACTGGAAAATGTATCATCATCGGGCATTAAAGGAAATGGTATGTACCAGGTAATCAGTCTGAAGCTTGAAGAAAATGGAACTCATGTGAAATGTTTGATAATGGCTCAGAAGAGAAGAGGGGAAGGGGGAAGGTGGGGGTGAGTAAGGAGATAAAAATGTGTCTAACATCAACACTATCATCGTCATAACTACCACTGTTATCTTTACCTTAATCACCGCCACCTCCATCATCGTCATCATCAAAATCAACACCACAACCATAGTCAACATAATCATCAGTATATTCATCATCATCATCCTTATCATCACCACTATCATCATTACTACAACTATCGTCATCATCATCATCATCTTTATTATCTTCATATTTTGCACCATGATCATCACTTTTATCGTCATCAGAATTCATGATCTTTGTTCTCATTGGGAGTTTAAGAAGAGGTAGGGGTTCCGATTCCATGCTTCTACCAAAATCAAAGTTTATAATTGCTAATCTTAATTTTTGGTATATTTTAGGAATTCCGCATATCCTACGACTGGACTTTTATTACCCCAATTGTTTTCAACCCTCCAATCAAGACACGATTTGTCAGAATAAAATTACATTCTTGGTCAAAAGAAAAGTACCTTCAGTTTGAAAGTTATGGTTGCGTGGAAGAGAATGCCACAACAATACATCCACTTGGTAAGTTTACAGTAGGACTCAGGCGATTCGAACTCGGATAATTCGATCGAACTCCCCGCTAACTCGAACAAGTCTCATTTCCTGTGAATTTGACCTTCCTTTTCAGTCACTTTTACCCGGATAACTTGAATTCCCCGCTAACTCAAACTAAATTTCGTTTCCCTCGATCAAAATTTACCTCGATAACTCGAATTCTGGATGTTACAACTCACCATGAATGCCAACCCGTTAGCTTTTCTTGTCGTGCAATCGGTAAAAACCATAAAACTATCACTACGGGGATTTGTTTTTGATAAGTGCAACGAACAGATCACGTATTTCACAGTCATATGCATGTTTAATCAACATCTTTATCTTTAAAGGTTTCCCATTACGTTTCCCTGTATAATCATAAAAATGAGTAATCGTGTTACAATGTCTAATAAGTCTGATTTGCACTCTGCTCTATATTGATGTGCTGAAATATAAGTTAACTATCAATATTTAAAGCTTTAAATGCTGTAATTTGCATGATCGAAAACACTTTTCCTTGATAATGTAGTCTTGACTACTCTGAAACGTTGGATTTTATCGTTCTTTTTTACCGTTTTGTCTTAAGAAATCTCTTTTAATACTATCAATATTAACATGGAAAATTCAAGATTCAATCGACCCCGCTGAATAACTGGAACTGTTTTTTGTTTTCCTTCAGAGTTCGTGTTAACTGGGTTCTACTGTGTTTTCAACTACAGAAACAAATAAAGCTCACCCAGAAAATTTGTTCATCATTAGTTCACCAGGCTTTACAGTGCGGACACTCAAACCTGGACATTTGGAAGAAGAATGTCCAAAGACAACGTTTTCAGAAAAGCAACAACAACAACAACAAAAAAAGGTTCAACAAATCAACCGTTGACAACTTTAAAACTGTTCAATTTTACCTGACCTCTCAGAGAACAGCCCTCAAATGTCTGAATTTTATTGGTCCGTTTGCACAAAAAAAAAAAAAGATTAAGAATGTTTTATTTTCAGAAAACGTTGTGATTGGGCAACCTTGTTTCAAGTGTCTCAGTTTGAGTGTGCGCACTGTAAGGTTACCATCTCATTATTAGAATTTTATTTAATTATTTTACCCTCTTTCTTTCAGACTATGGCTACCCTCTAGGGACTGAGTCAGGGGACATTTTGGACAGTCAGTTTTCGTCTTCCTCGTCATCTCTTCCTTCATTTGAACCCTTCAAAGCGAGGCTTAACTCTGTCTCCGCCTGGTGCATGGATGAAAGAAGCTTGTCTGACTACTTACAAATTGATCTTTTGGCGCCACACTTTATTCAACAGGTACTTTGAAATTCAAAATGTTTTGTACCACAATTTTGCGTAATTTTACTTCCCTGATGTTTTCCTGAATGAACTTTTATCTAGAGAAAAAAAGCCACGGCAAAGGTAGAGAAAAAAACTTTATTAAGGGCTGGTGATGCACAGAATATACTTAACTGAATTTAAAGTGTTACTGCCATTTGTACTGATATAAGGCCTAGCACAAGAGGATCGGGAAAAACAGAGATCTTTTTCTCTTTTTTCAAAAAATAAATAAATAAATAAACACGCGTCCACACGCAGCATATGCGAATCGTTTTCACCCGTCCTCTCGAAAATGCCAAAGCAATAGACTTAGCGTCCCTTGCAGACGGAGCATGCGCTATAATGTATGACATCATCGAATTCGAAAATCTCCGTTTTCGTCTGTCCACATAATCCAGCGTCTTCAAAAAAACACCACTCTAAAAGGCCTTGCTAAAACAGACGGCTAAAACGGTGAGCGAGATTAATACGTTCAGTAATAACGCATAAAGGACGCCACGCTATGTGGGGCATTTTATCTGGTTCCCTTTTCTCCGTTTTCTGTGAGACGTTTCCCATGGCATTCCCAGTCATACATTTTAGGGACATATCGAAAACAAGCAGCGCCTCAGTTCTTCTCTTCACCCTGGGGGTTCTGCGGTATAAAAGACCAGATAGGTATAGGTAGGTATAGATATCAAACCCAGCAAACTTCTGTCACTTCTGGAAAATTTGTTTGGGGTTGTACGGCTCATTTTCGGTAACCCCTACCTTGAGACAAAAATGACGAGATCGGGTGGTTTTCCGTACCATATTTCAGAGGTTTGTTTATACTGACTGTATTATAGTGAAAAAAATAGAATTTTGTTGGATTAGTCAATCTCACCTGTAATTTCACCGGTTAATCTTTTGAAACTGATTCCAAGCGCGGGAAGGTGATAGAAATCTTACGATGCATCGGTAAAAATTTTCTCTTTTTGTTTACTCCCTTGCGCGCGTTAAGGATAATGGACACTTAAAAATCGATAAGCCAATCAGACAAAAATCTCCTTTGTTATTAGAGTTAGGTAACCACTCCAAGAAGAAGAGACTTACAACAAGAATATTTTCCCTTCTTAGGTGGCAACACAAAGTGAGTACTGTGACGGAAGCAAGGAAAATTTTCGTGGTGTGACGTCATATTATTTACAATACAGCGTAACAGAGAGCGATTTTGTTGACTACAGACAAAATGGCGATAGAAAGGTGTGGATCAATTTTGCAACGAAAATTTAATACATTGCCGCAGATGAGAGAGAAAAAGTGGTCTTTACATTTTATATGAACAGTAAGCTCGGATCTCAGTATGCAATGGCGCCACTGACTACCGCTATCGGTCCATTTATGAGCTTACCGTAGATGTGTGATAGCTAAGATGATAACAGAGGTAGAGGCAGACCATACAGGGGCGTAGCAACCTTTAAGCCATTAAGCCCGGGCTTAGCAAATGTTATCGCATGTTAATGTTGACGGGGCACGTATTTTTAGCGTCTCTCCCCAGTCGCGCTCTCCGTTTTCAGCCTCGTTCCAGACCTTTTGTTTGACTGCTCGCACGTATTTAAATACTCAAAACTACGGACTGTTTTGCAGTCCAGGCGTGAAAATGAATGACCCTCCCGAATACAATACTCGGTATGGGCACCAATGTCTGTCGTGGTGGTGGATATGGGAANTCTCCTTTGTTATTAGAGTTAGGTAACCACTCCAAGAAGAAGAGACTTACAACAAGAATATTTTCCCTTCTTAGGTGGCAACACAAAGTGAGTACTGTGACGGAAGCAAGGAAAATTTTCGTGGTGTGACGTCATATTATTTACAATACAGCGTAACAGAGAGCGATTTTGTTGACTACAGACAAAATGGCGATAGAAAGGTGTGGATCAATTTTGCAACGAAAATTTAATACATTGCCGCAGATGAGAGAGAAAAAGTGGTCTTTACATTTTATATGAACAGTAAGCTCGGATCTCAGTATGCAATGGCGCCACTGACTACCGCTATCGGTCCATTTATGAGCTTACCGTAGATGTGTGATAGCTAAGATGATAACAGAGGTAGAGGCAGACCATACAGGGGCGTAGCAACCTTTAAGCCATTAAGCCCGGGCTTAGCAAATGTTATCGCATGTTAATGTTGACGGGGCACGTATTTTTAGCGTCTCTCCCCAGTCGCGCTCTCCGTTTTCAGCCTCGTTCCAGACCTTTTGTTTGACTGCTCGCACGTATTTAAATACTCAAAACTACGGACTGTTTTGCAGTCCAGGCGTGAAAATGAATGACCCTCCCGAATACAATACTCGGTATGGGCACCAATGTCTGTCGTGGTGGTGGATATGGGAAATTGGCACATTTTCCATATCCCATTTTTGGCCGAAAAAATAGTAGTTAACTGAGAATTGGGTACCCCCATTAGCACCCTCTTTGACTGCTAAAATTAAAAAATAAAAATAAAATTCCGAGCTTTCGCCGATCAACATCATTAGGGATAAGAAAAATATTCCGCATGGTAATATACATATGAAAATATTGGTGTGAGCAAAATGTGTGAAAAGCGCAAGAATGGGGCGGAATGTATCAGAGGTAAAAAAATATAAACTTGAATAAAATACAAAGATCTAATGAGCGAGTGGCATAGGACAAAGAGTCTCTCGAAAGGCAAAATGATTCGTAATGATGGTATTTAAAACAAAAGGTCCGCAAATTCATTGCATTCCTCATGGGACGCGAGGACCGGCTCAATGTAAATCGAACTGCGAAGAACACGCTGGTTCTGATAAACGTTTTGAGAATACAACCCTATTCCTTGATTACCTACCGCATAAAATTCAATTTACAAAGGAAAATATAATACTGAAAACCCTGGTTCTGAGACGAGAAGCGATCACACTACCTCAATGTAAATCGAGCTGCGAAGAACAAGCTGGTTCTGACAAAAATTGGAGCGTAAAACCCTATTCCTTGATGAGCTGCTGCTTTAAACGCAATTTATAAAGCAAACCAGAGCACTAATAGCCCTTTCAAATCTAGAAATCGTATTAAAGATTTCCTCACCTGTTAGGGCCTCTTAAACAGAACACGGGATCACCCAATTTCCAACCACGAGTTGTAAATACAAGATCATGACGCCACTACCCAAATATGGGGTCTTACTTACACCCAAATATGGTCAAAAAAGCAAATTTTAGAGGGCTATGCAGAATTGAGAGATTTTTTTCTACTTTACGCGGGATTATGAATCTGCCTCGCTGGCAATTAATGGAGCATGAAGTAGACAAGAGGGAGGTGTTTTTGAGCGAAGCGCTGAAACACTGCTTAAAGATGAAACTGGCTGAAAAACCCTGCAAGTGTTCGTCCTGTCCATCAGGGTTTGGATTTGATATTTCTCAGCAAATTATCGATTGAAAAAAAAAANGCGATCACACTACCTCAATGTAAATCGAGCTGCGAAGAACAAGCTGGTTCTGACAAAAATTGGAGCGTAAAACCCTATTCCTTGATGAGCTGCTGCTTTAAACGCAATTTATAAAGCAAACCAGAGCACTAATAGCCCTTTCAAATCTAGAAATCGTATTAAAGATTTCCTCACCTGTTAGGGCCTCTTAAACAGAACACGGGATCACCCAATTTCCAACCACGAGTTGTAAATACAAGATCATGACGCCACTACCCAAATATGGGGTCTTACTTACACCCAAATATGGTCAAAAAAGCAAATTTTAGAGGGCTATGCAGAATTGAGAGATTTTTTTCTACTTTACGCGGGATTATGAATCTGCCTCGCTGGCAATTAATGGAGCATGAAGTAGACAAGAGGGAGGTGTTTTTGAGCGAAGCGCTGAAACACTGCTTAAAGATGAAACTGGCTGAAAAACCCTGCAAGTGTTCGTCCTGTCCATCAGGGTTTGGATTTGATATTTCTCAGCAAATTATCGATTGAAAAAAAAAAATCAAACCTTGGAAGCTGGGTACTAAAAGCAAGCTCTTGTCTTGTAGGTTTTCCTCGGAAATATGGTAGAAAACGTAGCGGTGAAGCAGAAGTTACTCAAACCATTCTCCGCTCGATTTGTTCGGTTTTTCGCCAAGACGTACATCGACCGCATTTGCCTAAGAGTGGAACTGTATGGTCGTCAAATCAATCAATCAAGCAACCACCCAGGTAATGATTAACAATTATTTCACGAACGCGCGTGGATATGAGTTGGCTATAATCTTCTCATATCCAACAAGCGCGAGTGGAATAATTGTTTTATTTAAAACGCCCACAAATATCGAAGAATTCTTCCCGACTTTATTTGTGAAAACAACCGATTTTCAGCTTGTTTGTAATTTGGAGCAAACGCGTACAGTTACCATATTTGGAGAGCATGGTATAACAGCTTTTAGTAAAATCCAGATAGTGATCTATTATCAATGCTGCGTTCTGATTGGTTGAGCTACTACTAGGCTATATATTATACCCACTAGTAGCGAAAAGCGCGGGCTTTTTGGGGGCAAAAAATGATTAAAGTCTAGCTTTAACTAGCTAAAAGTTTTTTATTCTCTATACTTTTGAACGGCTAGTTGGATTTTACTAAAACAATTATTCCTCTCGCCCTCATGGCCTCTGAGTCAACAGCCAATTCGGCCTTCGGCCTCATGGGCTATTGACTCAGAGCCCATTCGGGCTCGAGGAATACTTGTTAAATATACTATGATGGCTAAGCCAATAAGAGCTCTAGAATTGCATTATCCAATGATTCTGTTTTTAATAAAATTGAATAGATGTCGCCTTTCTGCGGGGAAGGGAATTTGGCAGATACTATCCCGCCTTTAAATAACAGAAAAAAACGCGCAAGAGTGTTTTATTTATATGGAAACACAATCAGTAGTCGAGTGGTTTTTAAAGACCTTTGAACGGCTAAAAAAGATCAATTCTGTGCAGAGACTGATTTTTCATAAAGGCTTTTTCGAAATGATCCAGAAAGTGTTCTTAATTTCGTACAGGGTGAATTGAGCATACTCTGAGACTTGAAAAGCTGAAGTTTCTTCCGTTATAGCAGGTTTTTTATGGTCGGATAACATCAAAGTCGGCTTCCTCCAGGAATACAATAGGCAGAATTTTTAATTACAGTCATTTGGCCTTACGTGTAACATTTTTCATGTATTCTCTATAGATTTTCCACCCGTGTTAAAACGGAGTTACCTTGTGGAGCCAGTGTCTGGTTTGGTGTTTGTCTGTAACGCCAATCAACTTCCGTAAGTGATTGCTATAAGTTATTGCGTACAGTGACTGTTTGTAAACAGACATACCTCAATAGCCGATAATAAAACAAAGCAGATTCAGGAACATGAAGGAACAACAACCTCGTGAACAACAAAATTAGCCACATAAGAAATTGAAGCTTACAAAACTTGCCATTTTGAATCATCAGTTAGACCAACTTATCCAGAATTCAAAAACGACCGGAAAATGAAAGAATCAAAACAACACCAAAAACCGGAGAAAATTAGTCTTTAATTAAATGATATTCTAATTCACTTTCTTTCTCAGGCCCGTTTCTTCAAGAAGCTATTGCTATCATGCCACACGACATCGCGGTATCACACGGTGGACCGGTCAGTAAAAGTCGGTTAAACCCAGCCTAGTCCTAGGCATTCTCTCTTGATCCGTTTTCAGAGCGAAGTCTGGGAAAGAGCGGGTGAGTCCCTTTCGGTGACCTCACAGCTCACGGTAGAGTCCAGGATTGACCGAGCCGAAAACGCCTAGGGACTAGGCTGGGTTAAACCTTATTTTCAATTTGTTATAAGTTCTCTCTGGGCAGCTAATTCAAGTCGTTACTTCCTTAGCTGGATGAAAAACTTCCACTTTGTCTTCATCTGCATTTTGTTTGAAAAGTGATGTCAATCCATAGATAGAGTTTTTCAACAAAAAATAGCATAGTGAAGCATTAAATTGACGTCACTATGCAATTGTCTTTTTACCATAACATTTTGCATATAGTTTTGCATTTCTTCAGCAACTATTAAGAGACACTTGATCGAACACTCGACACAGCGTTTCATCCAGTATCCAGGAAATCGGTCTTACGAGTAAAGAAAGTTGGCTGAACCGCGTTTGATGTTTGAATTTATCACATCAATAAACATGACTTAATTTATGCCGGGTAAAAAAGTAATACTTTACCTGGGCCTTGCTAGCCTGCGAGCAAGCTCTCCTTTTGGATCGGAGTAGTCGAGGGAGGGCCTAGCAAAAATGACGGAAAAAATAAAATAATAAGAATACTACTACTAATAAAAAAATAACAACATTATCGATGATGATAATGATAATGATGATGATAATAATAATAATATAGAAATAATGGCATTCTTATACTATTACGAATTAAATACAAATTAATATTAAATTCATATCATTTAATCTACCTTTAAACTGTGATTGAATTTCTGTACAATTAATCTGCTTCATTTTGCACTTTTGGCATCTTTTTTCCAGTTCTTCTTTCAGTGACAAAACACTGCGTCTATGTTGTTTGATAAATCAGAAATATTCGTCTTTTATTCACTTCCTATGTAACTAACTCCTCACACTTAGAGACAGTAATGTAAATTGGTATGCTAATGATTCTTTAGGACTAGGATTTCGAATGCTGAGCATGCTCGGATACGACAGTAGGAAAAGAACACTCTATGGAGTAGCAGGAAACAGGAGGGCCTATATGAAGTATAATATGGATGACAGCAGGGGAGTTATCGGTGTGTCAAAGGTGGAATGGTTCCAAGTAAGAGACCTACACTCCACAATACTTGCAACTGAAATTCCTTTCATACCAGAGACGGATTTCAGTAACACCCTACAACCTAACGAATGTCTGGAAACACAAGACGCCAACGGAAATTCGTGGGGAGGTAAGTAACAAATTCTAAAGAATAGAGAGGTTTAGAATCAGTCTTATAGTAGGCTCGATTTTCGTCGCTTTCTTGGGACCGATCTTGTTTCTCTCCGAGAAGAGACTTCTTTCGGGAAGAATCGCGGGCTCATTTCTCGAATAGCGGCTGGTCATCTAGCCTACATTTACGGCAATTGGCAAACGTCAGTTTTTACTACGTGACCATATTTTTTTCTTTACTTGCCGTTTAGTGTTCATTGCTTACGTATTACTTAGTTTCATATCCGGTTTATCCATACAAATGTAATTGCACAGTTTTTATCTTTTCATTTTCTAATTTGAGAAACATGAACTCGAAGAAGACTTTTGCTGTCTGTCGTAAACGTGACTCTGAGTCCCTCAAACGATAAAATGACAAGACGTAAAAAACAACAAATAATCTTTGAAAGGTACTCTGTTGCGAGGAACTAAGTAACCAATCAAGTCAGGGGAAGGATAACTAAACCTCAAACAGTAACAGTAATTGGTCTGTTGTTGTGCGGTTTCGCTTGTGCTTCCGCCTGATGTTCAAATCTATATTCCCGAAATGTCTCAGACGTTTTTGATTTTCTTACAGAACTGTAGCATCTACTCGTTCGTAATGTGTCTCCTCAGGGACGCAGAAAATAATAACACAACATTGTTTATCTTTATTTCCATTGTTTTACGGTTTGGCAGGCTTCCCAATCGATAGAATATTAAAATCCTTCTGTGTCGCATACATTTATTGCCAGATTCAGACAAGAAACACTTTTCTTTTTTCCCTGGAATTCTCCTTCAATTATGGAATTCGAACAAACCGGCATTCTCAATTCGCGAGCGCACTGTAATCTGAGTTGTGGCATAACGCTCCACGAACAGCAATCAACAAAAACATTCCTCTATCCTTTTTTTAAGTAAAGCCACCCTTACTAAGTTACCAAATCCACTTTCTTTTCATATCTCTTGAAGGAAACATCTCCACTATTTCCTAATATCCTTCAATTCTAATGAAATTACCATCAAAATTGTTTTACGTGGGTCATTCATCTAATGGACAATAGGGAGCTTAAGCAACGACAATGGCGACGGCAACGATAACAGCAAAAAGCAATAGGTTTAGAATGGCAAATCAACAACTTTGCAAGTGTATCACACTTTTTTGTACATTTCTTTGCGGTCACTGCACGACTACGACGTGAAACTTCCTAGTTTCACCTTTTATGGAGGACGTGAACGCAAGGCAAAGATCTTCAGTTTCTTTTTCTTAACTTAAATACACTCCTTCAGAATTAACTCTAGAAAAATTCTCCAACGCTTGACAAATTGAATGAGAGGGAATAAGAGTAATAAAGTTTGAAACAGCACGAATTCACTTTTCAAGTGCGGTTTTCACTTCCGTTGCCGCCGTGGTTGCTTAACCTCCCTAACAGGGACCTTAAGATCCGAAGACGGCGACGGCAGAGAAAATGTTGCTGAAAAAGTGAATTCGCGCTCTTTCAATCTTCATCGCGATTTCTCCAAGTCACTAACTTTGTCAAATGTAGGCGAACCCTTCTAAAGTTGAATTCCTAAGAACCATATCCAAGTTCAGAAAGAGAGAGGAAATTTCGTCGTCGCTTGTGTACTTCCTCTGTACATCGTGAAACTAGGCATTTTCACGTCATAGTCGTGCAGTGACAGCAAGAAATGTACAAAAAAGCGTGATGCACGCGCAAAATTGTTGTTTTGCTAATTGAACCTATTGCTTTTGTGGCGTTCCCGTTGCCGTCGCCGTCGCCGTCGTCGGATCGTAAGGTCCCTAGTGTAAGTCATGCGACAGCAATTTTTTTTCAATTCTGTTTCTGATTAACACCTGAGTGGGTCTTTTTCTTTTTCTACAGTTAGTGCGAGAGGGTTACATTTCAATGACTACCTCATCGCCACCTGGAACAGTCCGGGTAAATTATATTTATGCATGGTCACATAATCCGCAAAACTTTCCTATTTCGCGTGACGTCTTAATCCTTGTTGTAGTTTTCCACATTATTTTAAGGGGAACCTAGTATTCTAAATCGTGTGAGTGTAAAATGACTTATAATTTGTTAGTTTGGTTATCTGTTCGCCGAAAGGTGCACGATCTCAGATGTCTCAAACATGAGTTTCAANACTACCTCATCGCCACCTGGAACAGTCCGGGTAAATTATATTTATGCATGGTCACATAATCCGCAAAACTTTCCTATTTCGCGTGACGTCTTAATCCTTGTTGTAGTTTTCCACATTATTTTAAGGGGAACCTAGTATTCTAAATCGTGTGAGTGTAAAATGACTTATAATTTGTTAGTTTGGTTATCTGTTCGCCGAAAGGTGCACGATCTCAGATGTCTCAAACATGAGTTTCAAAATGGCGAATGTTTAGCCTAACGTGACGTCATAGTAGTTAAAATGATCATCTTACACACACATGACCTACACCTGAGTTGACTTCTTAACATTTCTCTTGAATGAATTAAGACTTTCGGCAGTTCTTAGATTTCTGGATAGCTTGGACAAAATGAGAGGCCCCAAGTATTTTACAGAGTGTTTACCATATCAAACAGTTTCGAATTTAGGTAGTTCAAAATATATTGTAATTGAGCTACAGTTAAAGTAAAGCGAAGATACAATTTTCCCTTGTCTTTTTCATTTCAAAGTGCTACTTATTTGAAATTAATTAATTTTTTGACGACACATCCCGAAACTAAACAGATTGTTTCTCTTACGCTAAAAATGTTTTTAAATGCCAAAGTAGTCTTCCGAGATTTTACAATGACGACGTCTGATGAGAAATTTAAACATCATGATATTAAACATCGGCCATCTTGTCACTCCAATAACCATTTTGATGAAGCGGGTGTTTTACTATCGCCCCATCAAAAATGTCACCAAAACTGAGTAACACGCCCCAATAACAACATGATTTATATTCTGCAAGAATAGTTAACACATTTTTGGCTATTTACATTAATATATCGACTTATCCGGACTCGTGATCTGATACGTATATATCCCCGGTATAGTCCTTATCCGACTGTAGAAAAGAATTGTGTATGTAATACGTTTTAACAATTTTAGTGTTACCAAGATTTCAAGAATAGATATACTCAATTTAAGTATATAATTTTTTAATAAGGGATACTTATCATGTATGTAGAAAGTCTGTGTCCCCCATTAGCTGCAAAGCTAAATACATTGACACGCGAATACATTTTTCAGTCATTCATCCCTGTAATTTTGTGCTAGATGAAGACGAGTGCCATGCTAATATGTGTCAAAACGGTGCTACCTGTAACGGTCATCACAAGGGATATACGTGCTCATGTCGTTTTGGCTTCAGAGGAGAAAGATGCGAAGAAGGTTTGCATAAGATCATGATAATGATAATAATAATGACATTGGTGATAAAAATACATGAGTTGTCGTCGAACCTCTCCAAGATAGTGCAGGTTCAAGTAAACTGAGACCTCATGATGCTCTGAGGTGACCACAGATGCGGAAGCGGGTTCAAGATTCAGTTCTAGATTGGGTTCAGTTAATGCATTTTGACAAAGAAATGGAGTTTTTTTTTGTAAAAGGAAAGTCCAATTCAGCTCAGTACGCTGGCTTAAATGGACAATTTTGTAATGATGGCCGTTGATAGAGGTTCCGTTGTATTTTTGGCAAGTTTTTAATTTATTTACCCGTATTATTTTTTCTTTCTCCACTGTAAACAGAAATTGATCCGTGTTTAGAATCTGATTGTGTCACTGGAACATGCGTTGTGACAGGCTTCTTAACTAGTACTTGTGTCTGTTCAGATGGGCTATCTGGGCAAAATTGTGAGAGAGGTATGCTTCTTGTGGCATTAATTAAAATGGATATTTAGTAATATTGGATAGCGAAAAATGATACGAAGAATTACACACATCGACTGACGCTGTTATACGAAGCTAAACTGGATAATTCTTCATATCAGACAAACGCCTTGGTTAATTCATTAATTATTTCACTATTTATTCAAGTTCATAACGTTGTTGCCCTTAGGCACAATTTCGTCAAACCATTTGTAAGTTCCTCAGAAATCAGTTCAAAATATGAACTGAACCGCTGCGTGGTTAGCTCAGTTAGAAGAGTGCTGGTCTGCCGAGCGGAAGGTCGCGGGTTATAATCCCGGACGGATCAACATTCAGGGTCTATAAATATCTGAGGAGAAAGTGCTGTCTTCGCAATGATATGTGCAGACGGTTAGACTTTCTAGTCTTCTCGGATAAGGACGAAAAACCGTAGGTTCCGTCGCACAGCACTTACACTTACCTGGTTCTTGTTGGACGTAAAAGAACCCACACCACTGTTCGAAAAGAGTAGGGGATGAGGACCCCGGTGGCGTGGCCAACCTCTCCTGGGCTGGGTGGGTTATTTGTAAGGACACACATAAATTGGAGCCCTGCTCTGTTGTGTGTTCTGCACCACATGGTGGAAGTGATTAAATGATGCAAACATTTTAAGAGCTGTTGACATCCCTCGAGAGGCATTCTTGCCTCCTTTTTGAATGGGCCTGTAATTAAATGGCCACCCTCGTATAACCCGCCATCGAACATTCTATTGTTAATTTTTACACAGCTCGGGTATCTTCTGAGGACATCCACGCCAATCTTTCAGGGAATGTTAGTGGAAGCTATGAAATAGGTGCTTTTTCTCAGACGTTTACGGTAAGCTACTAAAAAAGCCGCAGTACAATGAAGAGATAACTTTAAAGATGCAATAGATGTTCTCAGGCCCTTAGGAACGAATTCGAAAGTAAGAGGGCACGAAAAATACAAGCCCTAACAACATATTTTTTAAAATCGAAAGGGGAATTGCCTTGTGTTATTAACCAGTATTTTCGACGGTAAAATGGTAGTCTTCTTTTTTTAAAAATTTCGCCCAAAAAGTAGGGGGGACACGGGCCTACTCGGCCCCTCCTGCTCCTACGGGCCTGGATCTTTTGAGGCCTCGCGCAGTTTTAGCTATGACCAACTTAGCGAAATTTTTCGCAGCGTTTTTCGCTTTGAGGGGAAACGAGATGAAATTTCATTCTGCCTTTACTTTAAGCAGTGTGACGTCATAATGACGTCAAATTACGTCATTGTGTCAATAGAGTTATCCCTAGATTTTGGAAAGTGGGTCATGAGCAGTTTTGAAGTTATTGAGAGTGGGGGCTCCGAGGGCCCCCGCGGTCGCAGGAAGCAAAAAAGCCCGGTGTGAATACGGTTAATACACGAAGCGAAACTTTGATAAAAAAATGACCTACTTGTTTATTGCCTAGTTTATATATGCACTCTTCTGCTTTTGGCTAAGGATTTCTTAAATTCAGCCGATCGAGTCGTTATAGTTTTCATAGGTAGAAACATATTAGTTTGGATCATTGATGGTGTTAATTGATATTGAAGCATAAGTTTATATTTGGTCACCTAATCGTCGAGAGTTCTCTAAAAGTTGTTGTTACTTTAACATACTGAACAACAGCCAACGAGCAGAGCGTCCTTTTCGACTTATTCTTGATCGAAGAAGAGAAAGGTAGGCTGTGCCTGAATCGCATCAAGCTTTTGAAGTCGCCGCAGCCCAAACTTCTGCACTAGTCAATCTTGTTTCTGTCAGTCAAAGTGTTTAAGCGCGAGAACCCGTTTACTGATAAACCGATGGCCATAACTGAGCCCTCTGTACCGAGTGCACGACTATTAGGCCTGGGCTCGAAACTGTATCTTAGCAACATGAGGCGCATGCTCAATCGAGAGAACAAAGATCTTATTCGATTCATGCAGAGTCTTTCTCGAGTGCGCCAAAATCAAGCAAGTGAAAGTAGGGGCTGCTTTCAGAACAACAACAAAAATTCTCTTCTTTATTTTTGTCTCGACTAACAGATTTTTTATGACAACGGTACGTCCCACAACACAAATGGCTCTGATACCGGATGGATCTTAATCGCTCGGTTCTCGAACGCTGACTCTAAAAATTGGATGTTGGTGTCTGGCGCTTGGTGGTATGACGTAAATTCCACTATTGGAAACAACATAGACCCGGCGGAAAACAGTGATATGATTTCACCTGCATTCTGGTTGATCAGCGGAAGGAACTTCAAGATAACGCGCAGTGACGACCCTAAACACACGGCGCTGCTGCAAACCACAGATGAATGCCTTGAGGGAAAGTCATTCAGGCATAAAATGTTTAGTTATGGCGACTTTCGAAATGGAAAGCCCTGGTTCGCAAATAGATGTCTTGGAAACTGCAGGGTAGAGTACGGAGGTCAATACCAATCAACTCAAGGTTTTAGCCAGCATAACTGTACGGGAGGCTTTCAAAACCCTGACATGATTGGCTTCTGGTGTGATTGGTACGGTGATGGATCCGTGATGATGATTGGTGGAGGAGGCAATGGCTGTTTACGTGCAGATCACGGGATCGGAGTAACGGAAATAGACGACGCTAGATTTAGCTACAGCTCTAGCTATGATGACTTCGGAAATTATCCCGGTGGAGTTAAAGATAAACAATACGCGTTGAACCTGTGGATAAATTAAACGTTACAGATAATAGTGACCTTAAGCAACGAGAACTTTGACGACCCCCATGGCAATAATGGCTACCGGAAGTTGATTTTTTTCTTTTTCAGGGCTTTGACTTTGCTAATTCGTACTACAGGGAATAAAAAAGGCTTCACACAGTAATTTTTAGGGAGTTATTATAACTCCAAAAATGGAGTAATAGTTTTAGGTACAGGATAACCCCTTTTATAGGTTTACTTTAATTCCTGGTTTTACTCCAAATTTGGGGTCATTTTTAGTTCTGAAAAAGAGTCCTTTTAACTCCCAGTGTGGAGTTAAAAGAACTCCGAAAATGGGGTTATTTTTACTCCTTACATGGGTTGTTTTTACTGTTTTTGGAGTTACCCTACCTTTGAAAGTAGAGTAAAAATTTTAGGTCCGGGATAACTCCTTTTTTGGGGTTATTTTAACTCCTTAATGTCTGGGGTCATTTTTACTCCTGAAAAAAGAGTTCTTTAAACTCCTTTTTGGAGTTAAAATAACTCCCCCAAATAATAACTCCACTGTAAGGAGTTAAATAAACCCCACTAGAGGAGTTATTATAACTCCTTGAAAATTACTGTGCAAACTCGTTGTTTGAGAGGGGAGAGTTCCATCAAGCAAGACATCAAACTACAGGTTGCTTGATTTATAAATTTCCTGGAATTTAGCGTTATCGTTGATTAAGCTGCTAATATGATCCATTCACTGAGATTTAGCTTCAGATATATGGTGTTTTGCAACACACTGGTAGGCTGACATTCAACTAGCTAGAAGAAATTAAACCCAAAGTATATTTCTGGAATCTTTACACCTTCTGTATTAAGCATTGTAATGGAAAGTCCTGTTAATTTTTTTGTACACAATGGAAATTATTGAAACTTTTCAGCACCGTTTTCCTAAATTCTCATCACAGGTAACGATTTTAATTGCTAGCTAAACCGGATAGTATAGAATAATTAACTTTGAAACTAGGCTGCTCCAGGTTCCAAGTTAGTAGGGAAAGCGTATTGAGAAAAGCTGCGTGAAAAACGCTTAGGGGCTTTGGAGAGACGGGTAAGCAGAGCCTGTAAGCATTGTTTGTAATAACACTTCATGCCGGTATACCAGCTCTTGGTGTACCGTATGAGTGGTCAATTTTGACAGTTTACGGCAACAATTACAACAATCATTTTGCTTCGTGTGCGCAGAGACAAACATACATGGCGAGGGTGTGAAACCCTCCTAAACCGCACATTTTGACATGAGAAACGGTTTTTTTTAAAGTGGGCGTTGTGGTGGCAGCATTGAGGTATTTGCAAAGATGCTTACCGCACAGGCTCGTCCCTTCTCGCTTCCCAACGTCTATCGGTCGCTCTTTTTTTCGCGCTCATCTGCACTGACCGGGAGCCTGGCACAGGCTACTTTGAAAAAGTATAGTCTTTTCAATGGGCAGGCGAAAAATGAACCTCAAGATAAAGTAGTAAAAATAAAAACTTCAATGATTATAGTTCAATAGTTTTACTTTATCGGAATAAAAAATTATAACTTATATTTTAACCTTTAACTTTAGACTACTTCAACTTTAACTTTTTTATCTGTGGTTTTACTTAGGTTTCTGGGGACCTGCCCGCCTGCCCCTTCCCTTAGCTAACATTAGCACTTACTTCTCACTTTGGGCAAAATTATGGCTTAGGGGAGGGTTAGGTGGGCATTTTCACTGAAACCTAAATTGATCCACCGGATCCACTGGTGTTACCATTTCAATGAAAACTCTTTGGCAGTACCTTTGATAGCACTTGACATTTGCTGGGATTTTCAAAAGCTAATCGGAATATTTTGTTAATTTTTTTTTCCTTTGGCCAATCATATTATTAGGAGTGAAAGGTTAAAACCAAAAACATGTTATAGATTTCCGTTCTTTTTCCTTTTTGAAGTAGTTAACCAGGTTAACTTTCACACTTGAGATTTGATTCACAGACTCACTAGAAAAAAAAAAAAAAATAAAAGTTTCAAAAATTATTATTCATTAAAAATATTTCTCCGTTTTTGCCAGAATTGGCTCAAATCACCTGGCTAATTCTTCGATCATAACCAGCCGGCGGGCTCCCCATATTTGGAAGATGAAGGAAATATACCATCGATCACGACTTTTAGATATTTAGAGCAACAACACTTGAAACCGAGGTCCCGAGGGAAACAGGTAATTTTGTTTTCCCTCGAGAGTGCCGATGTTTCCCGAGCTCGGTATTCGTCCATCTTTACAGAACAAGTTTGCCCAGTAAAGGATTTATTACTTCTTGCGCGATAAAGCAGATTTTCCCGAGCGTGTTGGACATGTTGCCCGTTCGGGCAGGTCATGAGAATTCAGGATTCGCCTCATCTTACCCCGAGGGAAACAAGTAATTTTGTCATCTCGAGATTCCCAATGTTAATTCCCTGAGGCCAGTATTCGTCCATCTTTACCGAAGAACTTTGCTAAATAAAGGAATCAGTACTTGTTCAAAACAAAACCCTTCTTGCGGGACAAAGCAGATATTTCCGAGCAGGTAAAACTCTTGCCCGTTGGGGTAGCCAATCAGAATTCTGGATTCGCCTCATCGTATCCCTTCGCGGAGCAACCTAGAAAGACCCTTAACTTAATGCAGGCGTCTTGAATGGAAACGGACAGTCTCTGTAAAGGAAGCATTTCTTAAAACCAAGTGTCATGTCAAATTGAATTAACCTATATAGATTTGATTAAAAGAGCTACCTTTACACAAGTAATTTCCACTCAAGAACAAGAGAATGTCATTACTTACTGTAAATTAGCCAACCGTTTTAAGGGGTTTGGCGTACAGATGAACACGTCCACTCACAAACCAGTTACACTGACAATACTGTCACTGCATATAGCTCTTGCGAAAAAAAAAACCTAACAAACAATGATGTAATAATATGAGGTATTAAGTTCGCCGAAATCAAAACCCCATAGAATGAAACTATTTTTCACAATTTTTACCATTTCAATGTTTCAATCAACATTTGAAAAAACTACAGTTGTTGGTTACGAATTCTAAAGGATAAGGAGTTCACCAGAGGTTTTACAACCACCTTAAACAACAGAGAAATGTCATTGTTTAAAACACCTGTTTTGTTGCTTTGTCTCGTCGCTGTTTTCCAAAGAGCAGGTAAGTTTGTTAACTAGAACCCTTCAAGTCCCATTATGGCTCTTGATCGCTTACATTCGCTAGAAATGAAGGTGTACATTGTAAGTGCTTCGACGCAAAGTAATAGAATTCTCAGTCAACAAACATATGATAGGTAAAATTGATTTTAGCTACCTTATAAACAACCTGTCTCGTCAGTCACGCACCATTAAATCTGTATTTTACAACCACCTATTCGTTTGCCAACCGCTTACTGAATCATCTTGACAAGTGTCCTCGCCATCACTATCCTCTCTCTAGTTGAGACTAGGGCAGGAATATGTTCCTATTGATTCAGTAGGAGGGCCGGAAGAGATAATATTTGGCACAGGGTCAGGATGTATGGACCAAGCGCAGCGTGGTCTGTGCAGTGCGTCCTGACCGAGAGCCAAATATTTTTCCCGCCCGGACAAACCTAACTCAGTCATCTTTTTGAATTTTTCTGACGAAGCGAACCTGCGTCGATCAGTACGCCTTTCTAGCAGGGCTGTACGCGTTTTTCCGGCCCCTATCACTTGACCCGTACGGCCCTTATACGGGTCTTTTTTTCATATGGTTTTCCAATGATATTGCACGATGATATTGATATTGATGATATTGCTTGTCATGATGATTCGGCTACAACAATCAGTCTTTCTCACGAGCACAACGAAGGGCTCAGTCTACACAGCAAGAAACTTTGCTGTGCGTCACTATGTCATTTTGGGTCACCCTTTCATGTATCTGCCTTTTGGTGCCCGCAGCATTGCGGCTTCTGACTGGGATCTCTTTTTCTGCATTCGTAGTAACATGTATGGCTTATACCACCGCTACCGTCTTTGTTTCACTTCTAACAACTTACCAGGAAACTCTGAGCCAATGTTTGTTAGGAATTGCTTATAACCGAGAGACAACAAATAATATCCAAGTAATAGAGAGATTTCGAATCACGTTTATGCGAAACGCGCGTTTCAAGTTGAAAATTTCTTTAATTAGAAGACGAGTAGGTGAAAACTGACCAAAATACTTCTCTATATACTCGGGTGTCCCAAAATAACTTGCAAAATGGAAATTTCAGTTAGTCTGAAAAAAGAGATAGTGGAAAAATCACTGGTTTAATAAACCGGATTACAAATTTTGGAAGCGATGACATGATTGAAAGAGGTAAGGGCTCCAGTGAGGGCGCAACCTCTCCATAAATTTGTCGAGGTTTTTGGGTAACTGACCACGTACCCTCCCCGACGTCACAACTTTGCCCTAAGTGAGAAGTAAGTGTTAATGTTGACTTATGGGACGGGTAGGTGGGCAGTTAACCAGAAACCTCAATTTATCCAGAAAAAATCCAATAAATATACTTGGATACACAACCATAAAACCCGGTTATGCCTGTTTTTAGGGACCGATGAATTGGATTTTGGCCCGTGGTCTCGATGGTCAGCGTGCAGTCAGTATTGTGGACCAGGAGTTCAATTTCGCACTCGACCCTGTATCCGTGACGGTGACTGCAGAGAAAAAACCCTTGAAATATCCACTTGTTATAAAACCAAATGTTACCGTAAGTTACTGTTACTGTAATTCCTTTGTTAATTCTTTGGTTTATAGCCAGTGAAGACCTCTGGGAAGGAAAGAGCTTAAAACCCTGTCTTTATCTGGAAGTTGATAATTTCTCCCACTATTGTTCAAAAATCAAATACTTTGAATCTATGCAGACTCTTTACCGGATAACTCTTGGGCCGGCACGAAAGCCATACCGGATAGGGCATCTGTTCACACATAAGAACAATAATTTCGGAGCGACTTATGTAATCGACATAGAGTACTTAAGTGAGACGTCATAAAAATGAAATTTCT